CAAAACATCACTGTAGAAGGGGACGTGGACCGTGTGCCCGGCACAGACCGGGCACTCACGTATGCTGGACACACACAGGACTCATGTATTTATTTAATCCTTCCCATGATTCTAAAAGATGGGTGCTAACCGCTATTACAGATGAAGAAAGGGAGAGGCAGAGAGACAACGTATCTTGCCCGAAATTACTACAGCAGGACAGTGATCAAGCAGAGGGTCGAGAGTGCATTCAAATTCTACACAAGGACCGCTCCCATCCCTGAAAAAGTGTCTCTAGCACTGCAGACCAGGAGAAAATAGGGCGACCACAAACTCTCCTTCCCTAGGTAATGAGGACGATGGCCCTGGTAACCTAAGAGTCTCTGAAACATGCTCCCAAAGCTACCGACTTAACAACGTAAATGGCTTTAAGCCCACTGAGGAAATAAAAACATCAACGGTTGTTGATCTCTGTTGAACTCTTTATGTGCCAGGCACTATGTGAGGCACCCAACAAGCATTATCTCACTGGATCTCCCAACAATCCTGTAAGGGAGATGTGGCCACTGTCCTTGTTTCATAGGTAAGACAACAGACGTTAAGAGGTCATTACCTTCCCCAGGATCACGTAAGCAGGAGGTTCGGAGGGCTAAAATCCAGAGTCCACGTTCTAACCACTGCACTTCACTGCCTCTGTGTACAGGTGGGGTATGATACACAGGCTAACCCGAGCCTCTGTCTGCAACTGTGCCACAGCTATCGCTTCTCCTTCCTCCCTCCTGACCACCGGGATACATGCATACGATATTCTGCCTACATCCCTCGTAGCACTCTGAGGCCTGGACACAAAGCATTGTTTGTGAGGCTTGGAGAGGAAAGTCTTCATTTATCAAAACGGAGAAGCACCATCCACCAGATGTAACCTGGCACCTGCCACCAGACCAGGCACAGAAGAGGGGCGGCAGAAACGTCTCCTGAACTGAACCGAGGTGGAGAGAATGAAAGGAAACAGGCCCTGTGGAATCTGGCCACGTTTCGGTATTTCCTAGCTGCCAGCTAACAAGATCACTCTCTCCAAGAAGAAACTAGGTCCATGCCAATACCCTTGGCTATCCTGCTAACTTACCACTAGCCTCAAATTAATGTTTGCTTAAATGAGAGAAAGAATATAAAAAGGCGGAAGGAGGGGTAAGAATGCGGATTGACTATAAACTTGTCACTTCAGAAGGAAGGCAGACTCTTGAAGGTGACTGGGTTACCATTCAACAAAAAGCAGGGGCACCCTGTTAGAACGGAAGACCAGAATGAGGTCTTTCCCCAAAATAACCTTTTTTTCAAATGAGAACACTAGGTTATAATTTATATTTCCTTTTGTGCAACAAATTTGAGTGTCATAAAAATGGTTAAAAAGTCTTCCTATGGTAGCTTTTTCTAAACTTTTATGAACATCTGCCACATTCATTTGAAGTTTAAAAAATTCTGGCACATATGCAAAGGCATAATAAGGTGCCTATAGCTTTCAAGAAAAAATAACAAGACAGTCAAAAATAAGCCTTTTGCTGAATTGCCAGTAAGAAAACTAGTGTGCGAGAGGAGATGGGCCTTCCCAAGCTCCTTCCTTAAAGAGCTTTCCTTTGGCCCCAGGTACGAGCTCCTCCCCAAGCGTTACAGCCCATGGTGCCTGGAAGAAATCTCAGGGAAGCATTTCTCTCCCTTGAAGAGTATAACAGAACCAGATAAACCCAATCAAAAAGAATGACTAGAGCATTCCGAGTCTGAGCTGAAATCCACGGGAGGAGATTAAGAGACTAAATTCCACGATTTGGTAGTTCACGGCTACCCAACACACCCAGGAAACACGACTTTGCTTGGAAAAGTGGTTTAGCTGGCCTCAAGAATGGGGCAACGACTGATCTGGCTTTTCTTTTACTGCTGATCACACAAGAATTTGGCATGGCAAACCCCTCCCCAACTTCAGTCAAACAGGTCTAAGACTGATCTTGCCCAATGCTTCCTGAACCTTCTCACGTAAAATCCCTCAAAGACTAAGGAAGGAGAGTGGATTCGCACCCATTCACCTAAAGGCAAAACTGTCTCAAGTTTCGGCTTCAGAATTTACGTATATTTTGCATTACATGTTTTACTACCAGAGGTCTTTTCAAAAATTCCTTACGATCATATAAAAAGTAAAACATTTACTCCACCTTTAAGTAAACTTATGGTGCTGGTTCCCCGGAAACAGTGAGGCTCTGAATGTGTCCTGGAATCCAGTTTTCCAAGCACGCACTCAATCCTTCTTTTCAGAAAGTACGTGCTCGGCGTCCTGCTAGGTGCTGAGGCCACCACATGAATGCAGCACAGTCTTTGTTCTCAAAGAACTCATACTTCTAGGGATGACGGAGAAGACAGAGCAGCAGACAGCTATCATCCGGGGCAAGAAGTACAGTACGTGAAAGATGACAACTGGGGACTTCTGGGAAGAGGTAGAGAAGGGCAAGCTTAGCCAGAGGGAGGGGGTGTTGAGGAGGGATGTGGGTGTGCTTATGGATCAGGGAGAGCACTGGCTAGCAAGGGACAGTGAGAGGACAGCAGTGGAGACAGCAGGACATGGGGGAGGGCAGAGAGAGGCTGGAAGGCAGGCTACGGAGGTACGGCGACGAGGCGGAAGGCACCCCACCACGTGTCGGGACTTTGGCCTGAGTTCATGTCCGTCTCCCTCTCTCTATGGCCTAGCAAACTGTTCAGAACACAGAGGCCTTCATTTTGCTTATCAAAGGAAGGAATAAGGCTTCACAGGAATCCAAGAAAGCAAAGAAAAAGGTCATCGAAGGCAGTGAGGAAGGAACAGGTGGAGAGAGATGTCAGAAACCTAGTGACTATTTCGAGAGAAAGAATGAGGAAGAGAGGAGAACTCAGCCATGCTTGGTGCCTCTGCGGGCAATGGTGCCACTCACAGACTGGGAACACCAGAAGGTTGTGTGTGCGTGTGCGCGCGCGCACGTAACGCATTGTCTGGGGAAGACTGAGTCTGAGACATCTGTAGTCCATTAGGTGACAATCCATCAGCACTTGAAACTTGGCATCTGAAGTTCAGAGAAAGAGAAGCCAGAGGAAGTTCAGAGCTGAGAGTCACAAATATCACATTGGTAGCTGAAGCAAAAGCCTTACGAGAGATGACTAGAGGGCATGTGGAGAAGAAAAGCAAGCTAAGACTAGAAACGTGGACAATGCTGAAGGTAAAGGGACATGAAAAGAGTCTGAAAAAGCCTGTACTAGAACAGCCTGGAAGGCAGGAGGAGGGGCCGGAAAGAGCTGTGGACTCTGATAGACCAAATGGTCTTTACATTTGTGTCTCAAACTCTGCAGCGACTGGCATGAAAGGTCGGTTAGAAAAGTATTCACTTTCAATTTCTCACACAGGAGCCTTGAATACACCCCTAAACTTGACAAACAAAGGTAAAACACAGAAGAAATCTCTTCAATCTGATCTAAATACAACATCCGAGATCGTCCATAAACTGTGTACTGTATGTGCTCAGGGCTGGGTGACGACAAGGAGGAACTGTTAACAGAATGTAGGAGCCACATGGCCGTCCTGTCAAATTAGAAATTTGAGCAGATTTCTGTGGTCTATTTTGATCAAGATTCTCAATGTCAAACAAACAGGTTTTTCGATAACCAACTTGTTTCATTTTCGTAAGCACAATAGCACAGTGTGCAACAGTTAGTGAAGAAGCAGGTGGTCCTCGTCGACGTGAAATGAAGGCAACAGAAGAAGAGAAGTAGCACTTCCTTTAAGACATGCAAAGCATCATCACAGACGGACAGGGCTCTAGATTTTCCCTCTGGGAGCTTATCTCCTGTGCAAAACAGGCAAGCCCCCCACCTCCCACCCCATTTTGCTCTAGTACAAATTTAAGCTCTCTCTCTCGAGGAGGGAAAAGCTTAAGGTTCATGTCTACAAACCAATGGCACTTACAAAAGCACACAAAAGCCCTTTAAAAGAACTGCTATCTAATTGGTACAGCCATGCAGAAAGCAATCTGGCACCAGATTCCTAGCTTTGACCAAGCATTTCTACTTTGGGGCGGGGGGGGGGGGGGGTTCTGTGCTAAAGAAATAAGTCAGGGTGCGGAGAGAGCCTTATGCATAAAGATGTTCACTGAAATGCTATTTATAATAGTGAAAAATGATAAACAACCCAAGTGTCCAACAGTTATAGGAAAATGGTTAGGTTGTGGTATATCCAAACAGTGGATGGACAGGCAACAAATTAAAAATTATTCATATTGAGAGTGGATTAACATATGTAGAAATCTCCATGCCATAATATTAAGTGAAACAGACCTAAAACTATATATATAATATGTACACATATATACATCAGTTATGCATATTTATACAAAATATATATTCACAGAATATAGACTAGGAGGAAGAATAATAAAATGCTAATAGTAGTTGAGTCTGAAATAATGGTATCGTGGACACTTTTCAACTTTCTTCTTTATATACCTACCTACTTTTTTGTACCATGTTTTTGATAATGAAAAATGTCGTACTGTTACAGTGATTTATAATAAACATCATTTTGAAAAGCAAACAATTTCCCTTCCCTTTCCTCCTGCCTCTCTGAACCTCTCTCCCTCACCCAGGAAAACTGACAACCTCCAAGCAAAGCGGAAAAACACTGGAAAGCAGAGCCCAGTGGAAAGGGCCTCCGCCGGGTGCTCAGCTCTGTGCACCTGCGAGGGGGCTGAGCATGAGGTGTTGGTTCGACACGCTCCCATGTGCAGAGCTGTGAATCCCGAGACTGTGTCTTTTCCACTGCCGCATAGCAAAACAAAGCCGCGAGTAGAGAGATCTGGGGAGGAAAGGCGCCAACTTACCTCCATTAAACTTAAATGGATTCCTATGAGGTAGGGCATGGGAGCACTGTGAAGAGAAACAGAGACACACAGCTGCTTTAATGTCTGTTGCTTCGACAGAAAATTACAGATGGTTCACTATTTGGAGAAAAACTGTTTTAATAAACGTATGCACAGTTACATTTCCTTTCACAACAAAAATCTTAATGTGACATTTTGTTCCCAAGCCTAGAAACTTCAGAAGAATTTCAAAACATGGGCAGCATTAGAGGCAGCATGGGCGGTGTGGGAAGAGCACTGACCTTGGTGTCAATCCCTAAGTAGCCCCATGTGAGCACACAGCCTCAGTTGCCTTATCTTTAAAATGGGATACCGGAATCAAACTGGCAGCTTGTGATCAGAACGAGAGAACATACACGCAAAGCAGTTAGTAGAGTTCGTGGCACAAATGGACACTAGTGACAACAAATCGCCACAGTTACAACAGAAAAAGCAGTTAACAAGGTTGGACGCAAGGTATCATAGGTTTCAAAGAAGACTGATTTTTTTTTTTTTATTTGATGTTTCCTTCTGACCTCAAGAGATGTGATCTAACTGTCCATTCTGACTGGCCTAAGTACATGGGGAACTTCGAGCAAGCTTCCCCTCCCCAACTGCACACACACCATCCAATTCAAAAAGCCCCTTCCGATTGCTTCATTCACAGGGCAATGGTTCCCTAAGTCATCAAATGAGCAGAAGATGAGAACCCAACTCCAAAGCTCTTAAAACCTAGGCACTATGGATTGATCTTCTTTGGTTTCAGGAGCGCGTGTGTGTGTGCGTGGGTGTGTGTGTGTGCAAGCATGCTCGCACACATTGTGTGCATCACATTATGATGCTACTTGCCAATAATAAATGTGCTAGGCGTTATGTGAGGAACTGCAAATTCATCTTTCCTAATCCACACCAACAATGGCATCAGGTAGGCTTTATCCCCAGTTGACAGAGGAAAGAATAGCCCCCAGAGAGCTGAAATCACTTGTCTAATGCCACAAAACACAGGAAGCAGCAAACCTGGGGTGGCTCTGAATTTCCTCCTTCTGGGCCACGCTGACTTCATAATACTGAACCTAAAGCCCCGGGACCCACCTCCCATGCATGTATTTCCTGGGGAGTAGGGGACGGCAGCCAAGGAGGAGGAGGAACGGAGTGTCTCTCCAGTATGCGACACATCCTATGAAAGGTCAAGGGTGTTCTGTGGGCGTAGAGGAAAGGTACCTGGCTCCAACCAAAGTGACCAGGCGCCTTCCCTCTGGGGCAGCCAGGAGGGCGGAAGTGCACCTAACAAGGATGGCTTTCTTGGGGACAGCGTTGGGAGAACCACAAGGGTAGAAATGAGAAAGGAGAGGGGTGCATCCACTTGAATACTAAGGAGTTTAGGCTTTATTCTGAAAGCAATCGATAGGGAATGAAGGTTTTTAATTTTTTTTTTCAACGTTTATTTATTTTTGGGACAGAGAGAGACAGAGCATGAACGGGGGAGGGGCAGAGAGAGAAGGAGACACAGAATCGGAAACAGGCTCCAGGCTCCGAGCCATCAGCCCAGAGACTGACGCGGGGCTCGAACTCACGGACCGCGAGATCGTGACTTGGCTGAAGTCGGACGCTTAACCGACTGCGCCACCCAGGCGCCCCAGGGAATGAAGGTTTTTAAACATCAGATGTGCATTTTAAAATTGCTCAAACATTTAAAAATAAGAGAGGGCACAATTCCCTCATTACCATTCAACAAATAAAATTCTTCAAGCAAAAATCCTTCCCCAGAATATAAAATGTCCTCCTCACTACAGATCTCAGCAGTAATAGATCTTGGGAGCCTGTAAAACAGACTTGAATATTAGCAGCACAGTTTGGGAACTATTCTTCTAGAAGACTTTTTGTGTTTGATAATAGCCAAAGAAAGAATTATGCACACAACTGCACTGAAAGTGGAGTTGTCTTTTCTGTGCTTTCTTCTTCTTCTTCCTCTCTCCTTTTTAAAAAAGGTATCTGCTGTGCACATTCAGCTTCTCTTCGCTTCTAGGGGCAAGGAAATGCCCTGCGATATTTTTTCCCCTTAAACTGTAAACCATTAGTTTAGCTGCCAGTTACACAAATACTCGAACTTCCCAGTGTGCCGGGCTCTGCTGTCCAAGCTTTCTCCAGGGTACGCTGAAATGAATGTGTTTCTAATTAAGTAGCTTCAGGAACACGACAGCTTCAATGTCAAAAATACAAAGTCTGAACCCTGGCAGGAAGTCTTAAGACTGCAAATGTCTCATCTCGTGGAACCTTGCCTAATGTAATGAAAGGAAGCAGGAAGAGAGAATTCCAGAAAAATGGCCACTTATTAATTTGTCCAGCCGCACAGCCTAACACATAGAAGGGAGGAAAAACTCCAATCTGTAACATTTAACCGAATCTTAGCAACTTTTCCAGCTCCTGCATTGACTCATGCAATTGACAAATGACGTGGGGTTTTCATCAGAATTTGAGAATTGAAATTCTAGCCGGTGAGTTAATGTACAGAAAAAGACCATTCAAACAACTGTGAGGAAAAGGTGAAAACAAATACGGAGCAAGTCTCCGTCTACCTCAAGTCTCTTCCCTGAAAAAGAAATGTTTTCTAGAATTTTAAATGCATAGGTTTTAATGCCATGCCCTTTTGTCCTGCAATAAAAATCAACGATATTTTGAAAGACAGGAACGGTAGTCTTGCAGAAGTGACTGCATGTGCAAAGAGGGACAAAGTGAGACTCACCATTCAGGTATCATTAGGTAGGCATTTTTTTTTTTAAGCCCAATAATTTTCCAAAGAGTAATCACGGCCAATCATAGAAGTGCAATTTCTTAGCCAAGTATTCCTAGGGCTGCAGCAGCTCTGTATTTAGAAAATATTGAAAGCACACTTACTCTGAAATCACAGCAGCCCCAGCTTTTGTATAAATGCAAATTTGGACAAATACCTTTTACACTGTCATCATTTGCTTACAAAGCCTCAAATACTTCCCTGAATTGACTGCATTTTCACTAGGCAAAGATACTAATTACAAATTCCAAGTGGGGAGAGGAAAATGGAAGAAAAAAAAAAAAAGGCAAAAGAAAAAGAACAGAAAAGAAAAGAAAAAAGAAACCCAGAGTCCGCTTAACATCTCAATGTGGCAAATATGTAACTGCGTAATCCTAGGTGGGTCCTGAAAGTTTCTGCTCTCCATAAACCTCAGTAGTTACTGCAGATACTGACTCGTTTTCTTTGGAAATCTTCTTTTCGTTGTCTTTTGATGGTAAGGAGAAATTTAGGGGAGAGGGGTTCCCATCACCTGAACGGTACTTTTGTTTTCACGTTTTCCTCACCCAACATTGGCCCACAATAAGGAACATATTTCTATCTTTGAAATTCTAGAGTGCATATAATTTTTCTCTCTCTCTCTCAAAAATAAACAAACATTAAAAAGGAAAACAATTTTTAAATAAATAAATAAATAAATAAATAAATAGGCAGGCTCTGTTAAGGTGGGAATCCTTCAGGACTACTGCAATAACGCACGAAGTGCCAGGCACAGAAACAGCACGTGGTAGGCTCGGTAACCTATCAAGTCCAGATGGGTTCTCTTTGAGTCCCTGACATGGCAGGTCCCACTGGACCCATTCTCTGAGCGCCCAAAGAATGGTTTGATTGTATCTCAGGAACAAGATACAATCAAACCTCATCTAGTACCTGTCTTCCTTTATTAGGTCCCCAAAAGAACTTGTCCGTTGCTTCTCAAGAACACAGCAATGCAAACATCTGCTCAACAGCAAATAAACAGCATGCTTATCTGCTGTTGGTGCCTTTCAGCATTCGCAGTGACTTTACGTTTTAATGGCGGTTCTAAGTGTGATGTTGAAGCCATTTTAAATGGCATTTAGACGCAACATGTGCAGAACCAATAATGCACATAATTAAAGCGGTGATAATGTTAACAGCATGACCAAGTTCACACAGAGGCAGGCCATGACAACTGTGTCACAACGACCCTATGGCCGATGGCAACTGTGGGATGCATGGTGCTTCTCCGAATAGCATAACAGGGTACGTCTCTATTAGGCCTTTGTTCTCTGGGAATTACTGCAGTATCTGACTTCATCAGTTACATTCTGGAAGAATAAAAACTATTCTTCCTTCCTTCTTCCCTGCAAAGGGAAGCTGGTGTCAAGGCAGTGACCTTTACCTGAGAGGTATGTTTAATTTGAATCCTACTAAGGGGAAAAAGAACTAATATTTATCGAGCTACTACAACCCAGCTGCTTTTAGGCGTTACTTACACACAGTTCTCAAGACAACACTGCAAGGTAGCACTATTATCCACATTTTCAGACGGGGAAACGGGCTCAGAAAGGTGAAGTAATTTGTCCAACGTCACACAGCTAGTAAACGGTGAACCTGGAACCACAGTTCCAACCTGGGGCTGTCGGATGGCTGTGCCCATGCTGTCTTCCGAAACACACTTGGTACTCAAGCCAAAAGAAGTGCTGATGTCCCAAGGGGGCTACTCACCCAATCCTCCTATGAACTCAGGCCTTTCTTACAGCTGAGTTCTACGCAGGAACTCATTCCCCACACCGCTATGGCTCCCGCAGACTTAGGAATGGTGCTGCAGCCCCGTTCACGATTACTGCACTTCCACAATTTGTTTCATTCCCTTCTCCAGACAACTAGAGCCCTCTTAATTATGTTCCCCTGAGGTGAGTGGCTACTAATTGGAAAAGAGTGAGGTTTAATAAAAGAAGGTTGGCTGCTCAAGCCACAAAACAAAGCTTCCCAGGACAAAGGGGGAGGGGCGGGAGGGCCCCCCCCACCCCCAAGTGAGAGACACCTCTTCTTCGACCTCAGGAAGGAATCGGCTACTAGCCCCTGGGGCTGGAGGGGGCGGGGAGGGGGGATGGAAGGTCCACTGCTTTGCTCATCCCCATAAAAATGCAAAGTCAGCACTGGAGTTTGCATGCTGCAGGGCCCAGTGGACCTCTCCGAGGCACACACCTCCTCAATCACATCCCAGACGGACCGGCTACGGGGAGCCCAGGAGTCTTTCCTCAGTCCACTCCTTTCAAAGGAAAGGCAAACTCTGAAAGAAGTCTTAATCATTTGAGCTTCTCTTTCTTCTTTGGAAAAGAAACAAAAGCGCAAATACAGCTTGCCAAATGGTTTCCAATTCTGCTCTGAAACAGTGGGGCCCGGCATGGGTGGGCAGGTTAAAGGACAAGAGGTGAGGGAAAGGGCTCGAGCGAAGACCTCACAGCACATCTTGTCAGAGAGCGCACACGATCGTAGTTCTGGTCTCTGACGGATGGCGTGCAGGCCGGTATAAGGGCCAGTGTGCACAGGGAGTCGACAACAGCGGCCACCGTTCACCGCACGCCCGCCAAGAGCCAGCCAGCATCAGGCTAGGGGCTCACCAGGCATTTTCTCGGCGGCCCCTCGCGGCAGCAGTGTGAGGCAGGCACTACTGCTACTGCCACCATAAAGGTGAAGACATGAAGGTCATGCAGGTCACACAGCTGGCAAAATGACAGAACAGACCAGAACCCAAGTCTGCTCTGCTGAGACAAGACGTTTCCCAGAAGCCCAGCCTCGGCGAGGCCAGTGGAAGGAGGAGGGGAAGGAGATTAGATCTCCTCTAATCTGCTTTCTGAGGGCCGGTCAGCAGCTGGACCAGGTCTCAGCCGTGTCACATCATGTGCCGTCAATGCCAATCCCCACCTCCCCTCACCAGAGGAATCCTCTTGTTCCCAGCCTGCCTCTGAGCCCTTAGTCATACGGTGTCCCCTGGGCCTCAAGCGCTCTTCCTTCAGGTCCTCCTGAACCTGCGTGCCCATTAAGCACCACTTCTCACAGAACCCCAGTGGTTGCAAACACCTCCCTTCTTAGAGGCTTCTGTGTGGGTTGCCCACTTGGCATAAAGCACAGGTTAATTTGCACAGTTATTCTAGATGGTCAGCCACAGGAGAACCCAACTGTTTCCTGTTTCCCGGAGTCAGAGGGCTGTGCAGGAGGCTTTAGCTACCTTATCTCATTTAATCCCCCAAAGAATCCAATTTATACCATCCATTTTACGGATTAAAAAAAGGATTCTCAGAAACCTGCCCATGGTCACAGTTAATGGTGATTCCAGCTCAAATCCCTCTACTGCAAAGTCTTTTATACCACTCCTGCTAAATATGAACCTCCCTTAACCATTAAGCTAACTTAAAGAAAAAAAAGTCATTTGACAACTGTAATTGAAAAATAAAACAGCAAGTAGATACTCCACAGAATAAATCCGTTAGCCTTACTCCCTTAAATGAATTGATACTCTTTTTTTTTTTGTTCTAAACAAGCTTTAAAGCAGGTTAACACAGCAACAAAAGCAGGAAAGGAAACAGGGGCAAAGGGAAAAATCGCAAGCTGGGGTGAGGTTTCGCACACTGGCTGGGAGGGCCACAAATTTGGCTGTGACGCTCCAGCTGCCGACACCCACCCAGGAAAATAAGATCGTAACAGGATTCACGGCGTCCGTAGAGAAAAATAAACTAGCCGCTCAGGAGCTTGAATTTTAAAAAGGCAACTGGGGACAGAAAAGAGACAACTAACATCTGATGGCACATTTATTATGTGCTCAGTGTCTTTCATATGCTGGTCCGTCAACCAACAAATATTACTAGGTGTCAGGCATCACATCGGGCTGGGGACACAGGAGAGAACAGTTCTGGTCCCTGCCTATCCGGAATTTACAGTTAAGAGTAGGCATTAAATAAGCGTATTAGAGTATGTGTATAAAGTGCTATAAGGAAACATACGAGGCGTGGTGGGGCGGACCTCAGATGACCTCACTTCATCGTGGCAGCAGTCTTGAAAGGCTGATCTCCATAATTTACAGAGGAATCTATGGCTCAAACAGATTAAATGACTCGACAAAGGTCACAGCTGGTAAGAGGCAGAAAATATGGCTTGAAAAGTGGAAGGGGCACAAATGCCATGAGTTAATCAAGGTTCTCTTAGGGGAAAAAGGTATTTAACTTCGTGCCTGGTTTCCACCCCGCCGTCCCTGATTTATGAGCAATAGCCCAGGATGAGGACCCGTGAGAGGACAAGAGCAATCCCAGACCGGGAGAGGAGGCACAGACCGTCCACTTTCATGTGTGCTTGGGTAGCCAGAGCACAGGGCTCACAACAGTGGGGGAGCTGGGTGTGCATGGTTCGGGCGCTAGAGATGGTTTGCTAATGCGACACATGTCTATCGCTGCAGCTGATGCATGAAAGTGGGGAGAGGGGACAGTGCCCTTCTGAGTGGGGCCCAGTGGCTTCCTGGGGTAACCCTGGAAGGGGGGGGGGGGAGATGGCTTTCAGAGCTTTAAGCCCCCCGAACCCAACCTAAACGAATACATGAGCTACAAAGATAACGCCTGGGTGAAAACCTGGAAAGGTCAACATCAAAGCCTGAAGTGGTCCGCCCTTTTGTGCCTCCTCAGTCTACCGGAAGGAGACATACTTGGAAAACATCAAGCAGGGCTCCATGGCTAAGACCGCTGCAGCAGGAGAAGTTAATCACAGAAAAAAAAAAAGGTCAGGAGACAGGGCTCTCTATTGCCCCAGAGAGTTCAATGAGAACCATAACAGCCGGAGCCAGATGCAAAGGGAAATCTCAAGTTGGGATCCACCAACAGCCCGTGAGACTCTCATAGAAATGCAGGAATGAATGAGGGAGGTTTGAAAGAAATGAGGAGAGAAAGAGAGAGCGTGAAAGAGGTTTATGGATAAATCAAAAGAAAGCAAGCCCCTCTCGTCAATGTAAAAATTCAGAATGCAACTAGTAAGTGGGGAAAATTTCTTCTTTTTGTCTTTCCAGGACTAAGATATGTCACGTGTCAAGATGCACGGCATCCAATTACTTCTTAGCCTGGCCTCTCAGTCTTTCAAATATTTAAGGGCGATCACAAACCCACTTTGGTTGAGAGATTATGCTGAGCCTAGCACTGTGCTGGTGGCCCCACGGACTCTCCCTTGTCCCAACAATGGAGAGAGCCAGGGGCACTTGTCCCCAGAGTCCTGCCATGAGGTAACTTCCTCCACTGCTGAGGCACGACGGCACTACTGTGGC